TGGATTTGTAGCGGGCAAATTGGCACTGGGGTATGTTTCCCCTTCCAACTCTCATTCCGCCAAATGCTCCATACTCGTCTATCATCCGGGGCTGGTGCAACAGGCAAATTGTTGGCCTAAGTACCAAGTAGACTCAGTCTCACCCCATCCCACGAAAACTTAATAGAACGGCGGTTGAAAATTCTTCCGTTGAAACCACGATCATAAATAAGTGCAATACTTCCCGTAATTTGGCGAACTAAGAGAGACGCGGTAGCCAAAGTCAGATTTACTCAATTTCTGTGGAAAATCTGTGGATCCGATCTAGATATAGTTCATGAGAGTCTGACGTGTTCATGTCGATGAAGATTCATATTACAGTATTCAAGATTATGGCGTCGTGTAGCCTTAGTAATGGGTACCAATGTTTCGGAGGAGCATACTGCCTGCAACTTGGATGTACAAATTCGGAACCCAAAGGGCCATAAAAGGTACGGTTTTGTTTCTTTGCCACACCACGCGAATAATCAGTATGGGGTAACAGACGTCGCCCTTCATATTTCAACTGAAATGATTGGTACAAATGCTCCACAAACAGTGGTCTACTCAAAAGGATACGTAATACCGCCTATTATAGCTCCGTGGCTTTAAGCGGCCGCCGCTTATTGACGAAGTAAGTGTCAACATTTTGCGGATAAAGTGTGCCGCGTGGTGAGCGAAAAGGGTTCCCACGGCCCTTAATAACACCTCCTATTATTTAAAAACAAATTTGTAGGGAACTACTTCATACGAGTATTTATGGAGTAACTAAAGACTATAGAATATTGAACAAAGAGCTTCGTAATTTGTACTTTTCATCCAACTTTATTAAGTCTATAAAATTAATGAGCACAATTTAAGCAACGCACACACCACCCATGACAGAAATTAAATCTTGGTCAGAAAACCTGAGGGGAACCACCAATTGGGAAACATACGCATAGATGGGGGGACAGTGTTTATATTGGTTTTAAAGAAATGGGGTGCCAAGATGTGGACTTGATTTGGCTGGCTCAGGACAGAGCCCAGTGGGTTTCTCCTTTCAGTTCTCTCATCTATCAACCTGGGCGGGTAAAATGGGCCACTCAGCCTAAGTACCAAGGGACTCAGTCTCACGCTATCCTATAAATAATAATAATTGGTATGGTAAAGGGACTATATTTCGAATACTTAAGGTAGAAGCCATATTTTGTGTTCATAGAATCGTGAACCATTAGTGCTTTGTTGCGAGGCCTATTCAGAAAGTAACTTGCGGTGAGCTGTTAACAAAACAAGCAATGAAAAATATAGGGTGCGTCAGAAAATAAAACCGTGGTCACATCACCTGTTACTTGTATGATGTGCGCTCCCGTGAGCACTTTCTGAACCCACCTTGCACAAAACTTGTGATAATCTAGCCTGTGATAATTTCGTAGAGAAGAGTGGGTGGAATGTATGAAAGTTCACACGAAAGTTCCGAAATTGTGAACTGCTGTCTCTCATAAATTTTTTGATCAACATTTTTTTTATTGCTAGTGGGGTGGGACTAAGTCCCTTGTGCTGCGGCAACTTCTGGCCTATTGTACCAGCCCCAGATGATAGGTGAGGGTGATTGTGGAGCAATTGGTGGAATGAAGATTGGCAGGGGAAACCGAAGTACTCGGAGAAAACATGCCCAAGCGCCACTTTGTCCACCACAAATCCCACGTGACCAGACCCGGGATCGAACCGGGGCCGCCGCGGTGGGAAGCCAGCGACTAACTGCTTGAGCTATGGCGCGGCCCTTTGATCAGCATTTTGAACAAGATCATCAGTCGCTACAGATGACCGACCACTTCGCTCTTCATCGTGAACATCTGTTCGCCCATCTTTAAACATTCTACACCACTGTCTTGCAGTTTCTTCACTCATTAAATTTTGGTGCTAAACCGCCGCGCATAATTCACGATGAATTTCCGCAACCCTCATGCTTTTAGCGTGAAGTAAGCGGACATCGGAAATTTCACAGCTGGTGGGATTATAAACCGCTGAACATCATATCTCACTCTGTAGAGACAAGAAAAAACACTAAGTGACCAGTTATATGATGGTTTACATGGCAATCAGCCATGTGACGTTACCTCGCATGCGCGAGCCCTCCCCCGCTCCTATATTAGTTTCCTAAAATAAACGGAGGTTACTTTCCGAATAGCCCTCGTATGTCTAGTATGAGAATTTGTGCTTATTATGATCTCAAATGCAGCATATGTTCAGACACTAAATAAAGGTCAAAAAAACTGTAAAGGGTCTGCGAAAACGGTAGCCCAATTTCGGATTAGAAAAGGTAAAAAAAGGTAAAGCTAACCCTGACAAGGCTGTGGAGGACCTTAGGGTTGTGAGACGTATAGGCTCCCACATTGTATAATCGGCTCACAGACGGTGGTGAGGTTGCTAGCCTTAAGCCCCGACGGCTCTTTACTGCCAGGAAGATTCCTGGTACTCATCTCTGTTAGGGGCTGAGGCGACCCCAGGACCACAGTGCGGCTGGAAGGATTAGGTAAATTAAGAAAATGCAATGACCCCATCGGGAATGGAACCCGCGACCTTCCCGCTTGTAGCATAGTGCCTCAACCAACTACGCTACCGCGTATAGGTATGCTATTTTATTAAGACAACTAATTCATAGAATAGAACCGTAAGAAAGTGAAAAGGACAAGAGAAACATATGTCTACAGTATGTTCAAATTATAATTTTATAAAGAATAAACCATCATATTCCAAAATATTAATTACATGAGTACGTGCAATATAATGACATAGTTTTCAACGCACGCTAACATCAAGCTATGTCCTTATATAAAAGAAAACAATTTCGTGTTACAGTTCAAATTCGACTGCTTATGGAGTGCAATACCCGCACAAGCAGGTACTTCAGGAAACTCATTTTCTTGTCTTTCACGGCCTGCACTGCAATTATCACGGAGTCGATGGTCCATTCCTTTCTTTTAATATTTCACCTAAGAATGACAAACCAGCAGAACTATATAAAATAAGGTTCCTAATTTCGGATGCTCGAGAGTCGCAACCACGTTAACTACGCGAAATGAGGCAACCCAGTATTAATCTGAACATGACAGCATAACTAGGAATTCAAGCTGTGGGAAGTGATGGCATGACATCACAGACATGTTATAATGTAATACAATTAAGTTCATATAAACAACGCGAAACTTATATTGACGTATGGTTTCGGTTCGTTCGCTTTTTAAGCTACAATATTGTATCAGAGTTGGCAGAAACACGCGAACTTCAGCGTCCAATCTACCAGTGCTCAGAAACTGGCAGGGTTTGAGGTGTAAGGTCCTGTGGCCACTACCGCAGTGCTTCCCTTCCTTCCTGAAACACCATGCTATCTGATATTAGGCGCCTGTCAGAAACAGGGCGAATTTACCCTCTTATAACACCTTTCGCCTCGTTCATAACCCAACTTCTTATTCTAAACTTAAACTACTCATACTTTTGGTACACTAATATGCAATTTGAACATTTCATTCCAATGAACGAATATGTTATTGAAAATAATACGAGAATGTGCTCTATAATTTGCTTCCACGACACAGAACTGATGCAAGGACACGGCTGCAAGTGATGCAACTGACCACCATATGGCGGGGTAAGAGCTGCATCGTGTTTCACGGAGTGTACCACCCCCAATAGCATAATGAATCGAACAGCCTCACTGGTTTCTGTATACTGGCTAGATTCACGCGCTTACGTACCGAAACTGAACTGACTGAACAGCATAAGAATTCCTGAACACGGATGAGAACAGATTAGGACTGCTTCCTTCTCATCACCGTTTATCCTTTCTGGAGATATACGAGTTCTTTAAACATAAGCAAAAGAATGTAGGTGTTGTGTTATCAGCTCTATTATGTATGCCCCTTTAACTGTAGGTTCACCACACTGCATGTGTAGTTGTGTGGAAGGAACTGGTAACACTACAGCTACATCCTTAAGAACTACACAATAACACGCATAACACCCACGCCTGAGGAAATGCTAGGCAAATAACAGACCTCAAACAAATATCGTTTAAAAGAATGGACGACGATCATAAGGACAACATGGGATGTTAACTGATTTTAATTAGTTTTAATTATATATATATATATACACATANATCTAGGTACAGTAAGGCACAACAATTGATGTAATCTACTGTAATTTGGTGAGTAGGCCTACCTTTAATATACAGTATTAGTGCGGTGTGTATTGTCAGTGAAAAGCGCTGTAATATGTCTTTGATATTACACATTTGGGCAATTCCACGTTAATGTTACGTTAGTCTGTACTTAACTAGGTATTTCACTAAAAAATGCAACATTTTAACTCAGTTTTTGGTAATTTTTACGTGATTAACATAAGGCTACTGTGGAAGTGCCCATTTCGGTTACAACGACATTCGTTTATAACGACACTATTTTTAGGTCCCTTTGATGACGTTATAACCAAGTTCTAATACGGCCGAAACATGTTGTGAGGAAGAATGGTGACCATAATAAGTTGCACTAGAGATGGAAATGTATTATATGAAATAAATGACATATGTATGCAACAGGATACTTAAATACATTATCACTAAAAACAATATCCGATTCTGTAACTCTCGAATAAATGTTTCAAATGAATTTAAGACGTATTACATGAATATTCCAATTTCCAAAGACTACAGAATCAAAATTACTAACTGAAGAATAAAGCAATACTGCTAAAACATTTAGGGCCTGGCAATGGGAAGCAGGCTGTACAGCCATTGCTATGATGAAGACCCATTTAAATACGAAATCTGGAAAATTTTAGGGATGATGCCACAAAGTATTTACTATAGGCCTCTTTATTCCAGTAACCCGTATCCGAATTGGCACCAGAAACTTCATTCGACTTCCTCTCTTTCATGCAGACCTTGACACAAAAAACAGCTTGACTAAAGCCTCCGAAACTGTAACTAATATACCAGTTACCTCTGTCTATACATCACGCACATATCGAGAGAACAATGCGCCAATAACATGAACTTCTGCACTTCCTCTTATTTCTTTCATTTCACTCGTGAAGACACAAGATTCACTGTTTCCATATTGAAGGCACTTAAAAAACAACATTCATTCAAGATATAAAACTGGCATACGGCCCAGCACACCAATCCGATCACTTAAAATAGTACTGCAAACACGAATAGAAACATTTAGTGGGCCATACGACCACACAGTTCTGATTGCTTCTTGCCACTGCCGAACACTCAACAGCTCAACAGCATACCACAGGCAAGTTTCTGTATGCACACAGCATGGCCGCCGCTGCTGCTGCTGTTCTTTGTATCCTGCAGAGCACTCCCAGCTCGCAGGCAGTCGGTTCGGATAATCACTGTCGCTTAAAGTATACCACTTGTCCGTTCTGCTTCGGCGGAGAAGTGTATGACCTTTTGGTGGGAACACTCAAATGGACTCTCATCGTGCACAAAATGACAGAGATTGGCTTTGCATCACTGCTATCTCCCATCTGAAACGTGTCGGTTCGATTTTGACAGATTTTGGTGCACCTTATTAATTTCAGTTGAAATAATATACAACATCCTTATTTCGACTGCATTTATACAACAGATGTAGTCGTCATCTTCGTAATACAGTATTCACCAATTACTCTCCTCGTGGCCACAAACACGTCCATCTCGGAGACCGTGGTAGGAAAGCACAAAATACCTTCCACCGGGAAAGAGAATTTTGATGATTTATTTTAATATACGGGAAATCGTTCCTAGTTCTGCGTTTGACCATCTCTCCGAAGTAAAAATGGCGTATGCGTTATCTGAACGTCATCACCTGTACAGCATATAATTTCAGCTCATAAGAGAGCAGAATCGCGTAGTAGAGACCCTACTTTGCATTCATCGACGAGTATTTTTTGGACCATCACACCAAGAAGGCGATGAGTGGAGCATGTAGGAAGCATGGCAGATACGATAAATAAACATAAAACTTAAGATGGAAATCTTGAGCGGAGAAGACGACTCTGAAGATCAAGACGTAGATGTAAAATAAATAAGGTTGAAGGGTATGATTGGATGTATCTGGCTCAGGATAAGGACCAACAGTTGCCTGTCGTGAACAAAATAAGAAATCTCTGGGTTTCCTGACAAGGCGAGAGACTATTATGTTCTGTAACAATTGTAATATTACTTACTAGGAATCACGAGTCCCCAAAGAGAGAATTTCAAAAGCTGCATCCATATTCTTACGATCTGTAATGCTACTTCTCGAAAAGGTGAACACTGCATGATACGAAACGGTCACAAACGCATCCATGATCTTTTAAAGAAAGAATTGCGCATTATGATCACTTTTCTATAATCTGTTGATGTTTGCCATAAACAGCGAACGTAGTTCTATAATGCTTTCTTCGGGAGGAAAAATTCCGATCGTTATCATAGAACCTCTGTTAATTTTACATAAAATACGTTATTATTTCATTCTTCCCAGTGTAGGAAAGGATTCTTGTATATTTTGGGTGAATGCAATCCACGCAGCTTTCCTTCGAGTCTGCTCGGCTACAGTCTGCATCACCGCAGATTCCTCAAGACCTTCGCTTCCTCTTAAAGTTGCTACCACAATTTTCCTTATTTTGTAATTCTTCTTGCAGTGGGACATTCCACCTACGCTCCAGGTGGTGATGGTAAAATGATCCGCTACGTAAAAATCCTTGTCCTTTGCACTGAAAGTATTTTTATCCATCTGGCTGTTTCTTTTGAGCTTAGGAATACGATCGGTTTACACAAATTGGTTTACCAGACCATGATAAAATACCCAACCTGAACAAACCGAAGTCTTTGATGTCAGCTGTCTAAAGAAGCTGCCTTCAGTACGGCTATCGAATATGGTCAGAGCATTGTGGGTTTATCTCAATTTCGCCCTTCTCCTCTGGCAGGCCGGCAAGCATACACTTTCTCAACATTGTCATCTTCATCATTAGGGCCACTGAACCCTGTCATCATGGTAAGATGTTAAATGATTCCATCGTAAAGTAGAGCTAAAACAGGTCTCCCGAACTACCAGAAATACTAATAATTTGTCAAAATAGCACACAAAACTGAAGTATATATTCATCATAACCTCTGACGCTAATACAGCGACATTAAATATGCAACAAATTAGCTGCCTGCTCTCAAAGACCTTAGGCCGATTCCTTCTTTTACTTCTTTAAAACAGGGGTTCTAGAATTTTGTGACACCACGGCACCCTCAAATAGTACGTGCTTCTGCGCGATCCCCATCTCTGCCCATAGGCGAAAAGAGCAGAGCTGCAGGTCCCCATTAGTCTGTACGGCGACAGCTACAACCTCAGTGCTTTATGCCATCTTTTCACCTACAATACTCCTGTACAGTCACGATAAATATTATAAAAATGTTTCGCTGGCTGCAGTTACGTTTTCCGAAGGCACTCACATTAATCCTTATTGACCTACTAACTTGTCAAGATTGTCCATAGATATAACTATATTTTAAATAATTCGTTATGACTGGGGGGGCCTCACCGACCTGCAGGGAGGTTGTGACACATATTTCGGATATCTTACAGTATGACAAATATGACTGTCCGTCTCAGTTTTCTTCAGCTCTCGCTCAGCGGTCTGCTGGTCGAGAAGTGTCGGTTGTCAGCATTCTGTGGGTGTGCGCCGCTCTGTTCTACGATCCTAAAGAAAACATGCTTTGCCAACATCTGGACAGAGAACAATGGGCTTAGAGTCGATGTTTTCGGCTAGGTGAATACCTACCTCACAGTACCGAGTTCATTTCCACAGCACATCTAGGGGTGTGCATGACGCAGAAAAACCGACGCGAACACTATGTACGACTTGACAAGTGTGTCAGATATATATATAAATTATCCACACTTTCGCCATAACACATCTGCTCATGCATGCTTAGAGTTGGTACTACTGTAATCACGAGATCGAAGTTTGACCTTGATCGCGTCATTTTCCTTGATGCTGTGATAGTGTAAACATGGCCGCTCCGCTAGCAGTGTGCACCAAGGAGGAACAAAGTGCAGTGATCCGATTTCTCTGGTGGGAAGATGTGTCAGGGGCTGAAATTCATCGGAGGCTTTCAACACAATACGGTCGAGAAGTGGATCGAGAAGTTTAAAAGTGGCCGGACAAGCGTGACGCACGAAGAGGGAGCAGGACGCCTGTCAATCTCCACCACTGACGAGAAGATTCAGCAAGCTCGAGAGATGGTACCGGCGAACCGGCGAGTTACCATCGATGAGTTAGCGTGTTCTCTGCAGATTAGTCAAGGTTCTGCCTATCAATTCATCCACGACGAGCTCGGCTTCCATAAAGTCTGTGCGAGATGGGTGCCCAGAGAGCTTACCGCAGAGCACAGGCGCAAACGTGTTGAGATCTGCCAACGCTTATTCGACTGCCACAACAATGAAGACAAAAAATTTTTGAGCAGAATAATCACAGGAGATGAAACGTGGGTCCATCACTATGAGCCAGAATCCAAAAGCCAGAGTATGACGTGGAAACACCCGGGATCGACAACGAAAAAAAAATTCAAGACTCAAATCTTCCGCGGAAAGGTGATGCTAACCGCGTTTTGGGACTCAAAAGGGCCTATACTGGAAGACTACATGGAAAAATGGTGTACGATCAACAGTGCAAGATACAGTGATTTGTTAGCCAACAATCTGAAGCCAGCAATTCGCACCAAACGCCGAAGCCTATTGTTGAAGAAAGTGTTGTTGCTGCATGACAATGAACACTCACACAAGGACGGCCAGACCGTTGAAACCATTAACCATGTTTGTTTCGAGGTGCTGGAACACCCTGCCTACAGCCCAGATCTCGCCCTTTCCGACTGTCATCTCTTTGGACCGCTCAAAGATGCTTCACGAGGTCGTCGATTTTTTACGGAAAAAGAAGTGCGGGAAGCGGCGCATAAATGGTTGCGCGACCAACCTGAAACCTTCTTCTTGGAGGGAATACGCAAGCTTGTGGACCGCTGGACCAAGTGCATCAACAAGGAAGGAGATGGTTGCGCGAACAACCGAAAACCTTCTTCTTGGAGCGAATACGCAAGCTTGTGGACCGCTGGACCAAGTGCATCAACAAGGAAGGAGATGGTTGCGCGAACAACCGAAAACCTTCTTCTTGGAGCGAATACGCAAGCTTGTGGACCGCTGGACCAAGTGCATCAACAAGGAAGGAGATGGTTGCGCGAACAACCGAAAACCTTCTTCTTGGAGCGAATACGCAAGCTTGTGGACCGCTGGACCAAGTGCATCAACAAGGAAGGAGATGGTTGCGCGAACAACCGAAAACCTTCTTCTTGGAGCGAATACGCAAGCTTGTGGACCGCTGGACCAAGTGCATCAAAACGGAACGAGACTGTGTAGAAAAATGTCATACTTGTTCAACCCCTACTTTTGTGTATAGAAACTGGAAAAACAAGAGTGGGGATAATTTTTTACTTTCCTCTCTGACTTGTTACACTGTATCCGATGGTCATCGTTCCAGGTCAGTTTCTATTATTTTGGACTTTAACGTTTGTTCCATTTTTGTGTTGCGCTTAGGTATATCAAATACACATCAGAGAAGTGAACATCGCACAACATAATACTGGTACATAAAAAAGTAAGTAAAGCTATCCTTGTAACAGGCCGTGAAGGCCCATAGGGTTGTGAGACGTTGAGGGTCCCACATTTTCTAGACAACCGGCTCAAAGATGGCAATAAGGTTGTCAGCCTTACGCGCCGGCCGCACTTTACGCCCCAGGAAAATTATTTAATTAATTCCTGGTACTCATTTCTGTTAGAGGCTGAGTCAACCCCAGGGCCACAGTGCGGCAGGAGGGATTAGGTCAATTGAAAAAAATCCAGTGACCTCATCGGGACTTGAACCCGCGACCTTCTGGCTTCTAGCATAGCCCCTCAACCAACTACATAAAATTAACGCATAACCCAGAGGTCCTGTCTGCCCGGCAATTTCACCGCCGAAGCTATTCTAGGCTTATAAAGAATGTGCTGCTTAAAATGCAACCCAACTATAGCATTAAGATCAAGTTTACAGATGAAATCAATATAGAAAGAAAGATTAATTATTTGTTAGATTATACATTTTATTTGAGGTAACTTACATGGCAGCTTCACAGCAGATACTGAAAATATCCACACCTTCTTAAAGGCAAGCGTCTAATTGTTTTACGCGTATGCAAATTAGATTAAGGAAAAAGGCAGAGATATCATAAGATCTTCAATTTCTGTCCGAAATATTCTTC